GGCAGAAGCCGGGGTGGGGAGAGGGCTGCGCCTTCCCTTTGCAGAGAGGAGTTACTGGGTGGCTCTGCCACTGTCTTCCAGAGCCTTCCCTCTGGTTAAAGACTCTGACAGCAGCTGCTCTGCTCCCACCCCTTGGTACCCACAACTTTATGACTGTTGATCTTTATCCTCTCTTTGGCACATTTTTGTTTGTTTCCTTGGATTTTAAGGGCCCTTTGTGATTTTGAGAGCCCCCCCCCTTTTTTATCACATTGTACGTAAAGAGCTGGGGAAAGCAGGTTGGTGTAGGAAAAGAGATTTAAAGTCAGGCGGCACGCCAGGCAGTGGTGGCACAGGCTTCTAATCCCAGCACTTGGAAGGCAGAGACAGGCTCATCTCTGAGCTAGCCTGGACTACAAAGTGAGTTCCCGGACAGCCTCACACAGAGAAACCCTGCCTTGAAAAGGCAAGCTAAATAAATAGATAAAATAAAACCCTTATGGAGAGAGTTTAAGGTAAGATCAAGAAAAGCCCATTTACCAGATATAATGCAGACATCTGCAACCCCAGCCCTTGACAGGTAGAGGTAGGGGGGTTGTGCTCTTGAGGTCAGCCTGGGTAAATTGTATATTCTAGGCTAGTCTGGGCCAACTGTGACCCTGAGTTAAAAAAAAAAAAAAAAAAAAAAAAAAACTACAATAAAGACAATACCATTACCTTAAGCTTTTTAATCTGGACCAGGCTAGGACATGGCCGTCAGACCTTCATAGCCTACCGGAGTGGGGAAGGGAATGGCTAATGAAGCGTGGTGTGGGGTCCAGCAGTACCTCATATCACACTGTCGAAAGACCACCTGGGGAAACTAACAGTGGGCAGCTGCTTGATATGGCTGTGAGGGACAGCCACGGAAGCTGGGTGTAGCCATGCGCTGGGCACTAATTTCCCCCGAGTGAGGGGGCTTGAGGGAAATTGGCTTTGCAGTCAGAATCTGTGTCCCTAAGTTGTGTGGCTGCTGTATTTGGAGTAACTTCTGGCACGGGCAGTACCAAGATCACGCCACTTCCTCCACTGAGAAGGAAGACCAGTGGGGGGTGAGTCCACTGGTGTGGTCTCTTGACCTCACTCTGCAATTGCTGCCTGCTTGACCGACACACAGTGCTCCTTGACTTGCTGGACAGGGCCTTTAGTTGATAGATAGCGTCTGTATGGGGATCCGCAGCAGCTTACTGGTAGATGACTGTGTGCTCAGGTCTGCGCCATCCTACAATGTGATGGTCGGGGTCTGTCAGCTGTGGCTCTGAGCTTCCCCAGAGGCACGCCTTGGAGTCCAAAGTGTCTGTCACCATTCCCACAGCTGAGTAGAGGGAAGGCAATGAGTGCCGCCTGGGCCTGCCAATCAGTGTGTGTATAACATTTTTTAAATCCTAGGGGTTTTTTTTGTTTGTTTGTTTTGTTTTTTTAATTTTTAACACTACAGTTCTCAGTGGCTTTGAATCCATCCTTTCTAGAGAAATAAATTCAGCCGCCAGGATGAGGGAGGGAATATTCCTGGCTTGGGAAGAGGCCTCTTTTTCCCACCCTGCTGGGTTGTCCTTGCTGGCCCCCGTGTCTGGCTGGTCTGTGACTCTGAGACTGTGTGACACCTGGCTTCTCTGAGGTACTTCGTCCTCTGCTCTGAGGGCGTTCTCTTCCCTGCCTCAGACGTCTGGTTTTCACCTGTGGCCGTCTCTCTTCCTCGGCTGTTTCTGTTCAATCCTTGTGCTGCGACTTTCATGGTGTTCCAGAGGGAGAGGGGGATCAACGGGCCTTCATGTGCTTTGCTTGATAAAAAGTGTGCGAGAATTCTCTGTCGGTCAGTCGGGGCAGGAATAACCCCCTATAAATGTCTCTTGTTTTACAGCACTGGTAGTTGTGCTGTTGGTGAAAGGCAATTTAAATAAAAGGGTCATGCTGGAGAGCAGTTGTTTATATTCACTTTAATATTTCTGCTGCTAGTAAAATTTAGGGGAGATCAAATCCACGTGGGATGAATAAAAGCTTTGCTACCTGCACTGGCCCAATCTAGAAATCCTGGTGGAGGCTCAAGCCTGGGCTTCAGAACTGCAAACGGCTGTGTGAATTCCTTTGCGCTTGGAGCAAATCATTGGACCTAAAAATGGTGAACATTGTGCTTTTCTCCCAGGTTTCTAGGACTGAGCTAGTGAATGCATGGACACGTGCTTAGCTTGTTTGTCTCTTAACCCTGCTGGGTAGGGTTAAGATACCCAACCTGGTATTGAGGTTGGAATGAGAAAGGAGGGGTCCAGTGACCGAACCTAGATTTGTCCAGCTCCCAAGTCTGCTCTTACCATCTCCATTCCTCTGGGTTGGCAAGCACGGGCTTGTAAGAAAGACTTTTAAGGAGGGACTGGATGGAAGGTGGTGATAAGTGAGTGCTCTCCTAGTAAGCTGAGTCCTTGGAGCTCTTTTTACTATGTGTTTTCAGATAGTCTCACTAAGTTACCCAGGTTGTCCAGGAAGTTACTTTGTAGCTGGGTTGGCCTTGAACCTGCTATTCTCCTGGTTTGCTTCTCTGGTCATTGAGGTTACTGGGCTGCTGTTCTAGGCCCACCCAGATCCATTGCAAATGCTTAAGACAGATGGGTGTGGCTTCGGAAGGCTCTGACAGAAGGCCCCTTGTCCCGCAGTTCACAAACCACTTGCTGTCCCTGGAAAGTGATCCACATTTTAAGAAAGTACTGAACTGTTAGGAGAGGGTATTTTTCCTTCTTTGTCCTTTAACAGTAAGAGACAACATGGCAGGGCTCTGCTTTGTTGTTGAAGGGAGCTAGGGACAACCAAAAGCCTATATAGTTCTCAGCTCCCATGTGTCCGATTCTGTTTCTGTGTCCTGTTCTGGCCACCTTGCTGTTTCTGTTCTTCCTGGCAACTGCTTTAGCGTTTTTGTTTCTGTCTCCCGCATCTTGAATGTGGACGGACACATGCCTTAGATACACATTGGATGCTGTTGTAAAGGAAGCCACAGCCGCCGCTTAGGCTGTGAGCATAGTTCTCCATTTCTGTAACCATTACACTGGAAAAAAAAAAAAATCTTCTGACAGAGTTAAATCAGTTTTGCAAACAGCCTTATACTTAAATACTTCATTAGTCATTTCAGAAAGATCATGCTTTCTAAAGTTTGAAATGGCATCCTTTTCTAAAAAGAAGCTTCTTTGATAACACGGCTGTTCAGTGTCAGATGCCAGCATTATTGCTGCTGGCTGAATTATTTTTCTAGTCTAGTGGTGCTTTTCCAGTAAACCTTTAGAGGGCAGCATCTCTCACTGTAATCCATGTTTTGAATAAGCTCTTTTAGACATAAAAGATGGAGAGACGGGGGTGTTCAGAGTCTGTGTGTATCGCCCTTGTGAGGATGAAGCAGAGGCACTGGCCAGGTCAGGGCACTGGCCCAGGCTGATGAGAGGGCAAGTGTGGAAGCCTGCCTGGATTACTGTCCACCACTCTTTCCCTGTGACCTTGTGCAAACTGTAACAAGGTCAAACAGGTGATTCTGAACCAAAATGGAATGTGATAGTTAGAAGGCACAAATAGCCATTATTTTTGCTTTTCAAGTCACTGTCGATCTAGTTCATAGACCAAGCAATTCACCTATTCAAGTATACAGAACTATAGTTTTAGAGTGTTCACAAACATGTTAATGAATGATTACTAAACTCTAATTTGAGAACATTTTGTTACTGTCCAAAGAATTCTCTTATTCATCACCCTCCAAGACTACATATCTTCAACCCTGGCAACCTTTCAACCCCTTGGTTTCTGTAGGCTCACCTATACTGGCAGTTACAGGTTGAGTCATGTAGCATGTGGCTTCTTGTGACTGGCTTTCTTTATGTGCCATAATGTATTTAAAGTCTGCTCATGTTGCAGCACGAATGGATGCTTCATCCCTTCCCTGTTCCAGTGTCCCAGTATATTCTGCTTCCTCAGTGGATGGACCTTCAGTAATAGCAGAAGTGCTGCTGTGAATGCAGTGTCTGTGTGACATGTGTCTGCATGTGCGCAGAGCTGCTGGCCCACATGATAACTCTGTGGAACTGTTTGAACAACTGCTAAACCGTTTCCCAGAGTGATTGCATCTTTGTCCCCAGCATCAGAGAATGGGGGTTAAGAAGTCCAAGAGCTTTCTCTGGAGGGGGAAAAAAATCAGAAAATGATAGAGAGTCCCAAGGGTGTGGTGGTACATGCCTGTGATCACTCCAGAGCTGATGGATGCCAGGTTAGGCCAGCCTGAGTGACATAGCCAAACCCTGATTGAAAATCAAAATGAAAATTCCAGATTTCTCTGATAAGTTGTACTTGGGGGAGGGAGTTAAGACTCTTAGCATCTTGTGTCCACGCTGGACTGTTGGCTAAAATTCTCAGCATCTTGTGTCCCCAAGTCCATGCTGGACTGTTGGCCACACCCACTTGAGGGCAGCTGCCTCAGCTGCCAGGAAAGCAGCCATGCTTGGACCCATCATGCAGTTCCCGTGCGCCACCAAGCTGATAAGAGGTCGACATTTAATGGTGGCTCAGCATGCCGATACCAGAGGCCAGCAGTTTGTAATTCACAACTCCTGACTTGGAGATATCAAACCACCAAAGCACGTGTAATGCAGGGAGAGGAAAATGGTATCTTCAGTAGAACAACACAACTTGTCTTACCACTGAGGCGGGCTGAACACGTCAGAAGCACCTATTTGACCTACAGTAAAGGCAGCCGTGGAAAAACTGCCTTAGAAGACAGCGGCTTTGGCCTTGGTCAGCATTTACGTCCTCCAGCCGGAGCTCACCCTGTTCTCCTTCGGCAGACCACACTGCACATTCTTGTGTCTGCTCTGAACTGACTGTGTATTCAAGACAGGGAAGGACTAGCCTTCCGTTAGGCGTGTTTGGGTCCTGGTAGGGACACACACTGCATGCTCTGAAACCCTGCTTGCATCTGGAAAAAATTAGTTACACTGAGATCCTTCCCACTGCAGGTCCCGTCAGGAAGCCCAAGTATGTGGAGAGCCCCAGGGTGCCTGGAGATCCAGTTATGGTCCCGTTCAGAGAAGGGTCCAAGCCCTCAGAGCCCAGTGAGACTGGTAAGAATGTTTTACATGATGTCTGCCTCATTCCTCAACCACTGTGCATAGTGGCAATCTTCACTTCTGACGGAAACCCAGAAACCCAGAAACCCGAGAGTCCCTTGCAAGAATGCTTCTTGAACTAAATGTATTTGGGAGGTTTTTTTTTTTTTTTTCTCCTTGAGCAGTTGACAGAGATTTGTCCAGCTAATGTGAATTCTTGAAATTGTATACAAGAAGCAGGAATAGTTGAGTTGGGTGTATTTGCATTGTTGAAGGGTTGGGTCTTGTATCCTCTAAATTCTGACCTTCCTGGGTTTGGGACACATGCAAAGCCAGCCAGTTGACTTTGTTTTTTATGTTTATATAAACATATTACTTCTTCAGAATATTCAAGAGCAGGCTTTGGCTGAGAATCTGAGATTTTCACTAGACAAACTCACATTAGAATGCGTGGCGACTTGGAAAGCTTTAAAAAAGTTAAACATCTGTGATTTTCTTTAAAAAAAAGGAAAGAAAACCCAAACGGATTTAAGCCTCTTTTTTTTTTTTTTTTGCCATGAAGTCAGTGTATCACAACCCCATACCCACTTCTAAATCAAAATGTAAGTATAACATGTTACATGTTTGTAGCACTGAATAGGTGGATTAGTAGTTTGCTTATTTTTAATACTCAAGAATTTACTTATTTGTTCTTGACTGGGATTTTCTTTGTTCACAGAATGTTCTAAACATATAGTCTTTTCCCTATGGAAAGACGAGAGTAAAACTCTTAGCCTGTAAAAACTGTGAACACACACTTCTGATGGCTTGTAGTGCTGAAAGCTGCTCATGTGTGGAAAGAGCACTCAGCCAGATTTCCACTGTGGTTGCCTGTGACCCTCTTCCGCTCCCTCACGGTGGGGATGGAGAACCCCTCCCTACTGTATTGTAGCCACCGTGTGTGCATTTTGTGTCTAGTGATGCATGGAAAGAAGTGGGGTATGGCAGGAAAGCGGAGTGGGTAGAGCTGAAAAATGATTGGAAAGGCAGAAGCTGGGAGGGGTAGACGGGACCGTGGTATGGGGGACACACTGGACAGGCACTCAGTAGGCTTCCTGGCATGAGACATTCACCCTGTTCTTTGGGTCCAGGGGCCACTCGTGTAGAAGCAAGCTCACGCTGAGGAGTTGTGACAGGAGGGACAAAGCAGTAGGTGTGTGTGTTGAAGGTGGAGACTCCGTGGCAGTGACCAGTCAGGTTCGATAGCTGTCAGCTGATACAAGAGGCTATAGGTGGGGCAGAGGGGACTCACGGGACTGACACTTCATGAATAGAAAGAAAGGTTTATTGGGGGTCAGACTGAGGCTACCAAACCAAGGAAGGGGTGGGGTGTACAGGGTCTTTGAGCTGATACTGGCTGGCCAATTGATTGGGAGCTAGATGCCCTTGCCCCTTTGGGGTGAATTACGAGAGGTTCCTGGTAAACAGAAACCTTCCTTTAGGCTTCTGTTTATCTAATGAAAACCCTTCTGTTTACCTGGCCAAAGCCCTTCTCTTTGGCCCTGCTTTGGACCTAATGGGCTGTGACATATGTAGGAGCCCCCCCCCCCCCGCTAGCTTTTCTTCTATGTGTTGAGAGGAAAACAAAAATAGTCTTTGAACATGAATACTAGCCATCATGTTTAGCAGCTGTCTGCTCAATGCAGATGAATTCTGCCACTCCATACCAGAGTCTCTACTGACCACGGTCTTTGTAGTCCTGGCTGATTAACATCCTGGAGGTTTGACTGTATTAAACATAGACAACATCAGTAGGATCCATAGGGTTCTATGTTCGGTTCTTCTCATGTGAGAGGAGAGGACACATTTAGAATTTTTATTGGACTAAGAAATATGGTTCCAAATAATTCTCATTGTCAACTTTTCTCCTCTGGCTTGAGGCAGATTTGGACGCCATTCCTGGCAAGAGGAGGTGTGTGTATGCTTGACTGTGGGCCAAGCTAAACGCAAGAGCAGCCATTGGTCTTGCTAAAGTGGCCAGAACTTGCCCATGGGCTCATTCCTAAGATCCCAGGCCTAAATCAGCTCTGTCAGACCCCACTAGGAGCCAGAATTACAGCACACATAGGTTGCAGATCCAGGACCTGAGACATTTCCAGTTGGCTAGTTTTAAGCAACAAGGTGTGTTCCCTTCTGTGGGTGTGAGACAGGGGTATGGTTCATGTTTCTGGGTGCACGGTCACATGTAGAGATAGCCACATCGTGGCACAAAGCCCCAACAGTTTCTCTGTTGGCTGATGGATGGCGAGGCAGTTGCCTAACAAAACTGAACTTGACAACTAGCAAAGGGTGGTGTGTTTTGTAATCCTCGTGGCATCTTTTAGATTTCAGTGGAGTTAATTAAGACTGCCTTAGCAAAACTGCAAGTGTTATGTCTAGATGATTGAACCTGGAGTGGAGGCTTACCTGGGCTTTGACTAATGAAACAAACATGTACAGAGGCAGGAAGGGCAAACTCTACTTTCCAGAGTTTAACATCAGGATCATCGCTCAGTCTCCATGTGGAAGTTTGGCCTTCCTGCCTCCCATGCTTTCTTTGGGCACTCTTCTTTATGTCTCTATGACCCTCTGGCTGCTGTCAGTAGTTTCATGTTAGTGTTCAGCAGATTAACAGTCTCTTGAGCACAGTTCCTCCAGAGATGCCTTTGCTTATACACTATCAGTCTGGTTGAGCTGCGCTCTCCTAGGCTACCCTGTTTTGTTTTCCTGGCCATGCAACTCCATGAATTCTTGGTTCTTTGATCACTCTTTGGAATTTAAGTCAAAATAAAATAAGACCAATGAGCATATACAATTTGTTTATTAACTTAGCCACCTGGGAAGTAGGAACAACCAGATGAACGTTTTTTAATAGGCAGAGAATTTGTTTACTAAAGTTCACACAAACCTGTAAACATGTGTACAGAGACACGTACTGTATTTTTTTTTAGTATTTTGAAATATGTTTAAAACACAAATTTTCTACTCTGGCAGAACCAGTGACTCAATGGATCAAGAAAGCAATGCAACTCCTCTTCTGGTTTTTCTCCTCTGTCAAGTGGTCCTCATAGCCTGTGAACCACACAAAGCCGGCCCTTTATAAATAAACATCCTGTTGTTAACTGAGTGTGTTTTCCTCCTGAATAATATCCCTTCCTTTACAGGGGAAGAAGACCCCAAGGAATTACGGGGGATTATTACATTGCAATAAATAGCTTTATGTCTTTGGATTGGGGACAACCATATGCCAGTTCGGTTTACCTAACTATATCATTTAGCAAAGCATGCTGTGATAGGGAGGGGTGAGAAAGTTCTTAATCTAGTGAGTCATCGATCAGTAAAGATCAATCTCAAAATATGATGAAACTCATTTTTTTTTCCTTACCAGGTTGGTTTGCAAGGAAAACGAAGACACATCCTAGGTGGTGTGGTCTGTACATGACTCTGATCCGAGCCCACGAGTTTAAGGCTAGCCTGGTTTATGTAGTGAGTTTCAGGCCAGCCTAGGCTATGCAGCAAGACCTTGTCATAAAAGCCAAGACAAACCAAGAGTAAAACAACATGCAGCACTGTCATTAAGCACAAACCTGTTCTGCTGGGCATAGGGCATCTTTTTAGAAAAACATATTTAGTAATATTTTATTGATTCCTTTATTTTTTTTTAATTGTTTTTACACACATTCTAAACTATGTAAGGAAAAAAGGAGACATACAGGGTAATGGTGTCCGTGTATTCCCTACTTAGTTTTAGGAATGAAACATCACTCTGTTTTTCCTCATTGTATTCTCCTTCCTTTCCTGAGAGATAACCCCCCAGCCCACTTTAATTTTCAGCTTTTTAGATGGCTGTGTACCTTCTTCTGGTGGTTACTTGAGGTTTTGGTGGGGGTAGTGAAGTGGGAAGAAACTGTTTTTTTTTTTTTCTCCTCCTCACAATTTTTGAGGCCTGATAGGTAAAAATCCAGGGCTTGCAGATTGTGATGAGAGCTGCTTCCTAATTCTTCGGTAACCATCTTTTTGCTATGACCTCACACCGTATAAAGAGATCACAAGGTCCTTCCTCCATAAATGACATGAATCTCATCAAGAGGGCTGTGTATTTCCAGTCCCCTAATCACCTCCCAGAGGCCCCATTTTCTAACACTATCACACCAAGGGCTGGGTTTCAGCAAAGAAATTGGAGGGGGTGGGGCCTTACAGACATTCAAGGCAAAGCATCTGGTGATAGAACAGATGGCCGGAGCAGGTAGTGGCTACCATGAGGGAGAATGTTGAAGTGGTTTCTGTAGGGAAGTGAGTACATACAGTCTCTAGGGCAGAGTCAGGAAAGAGGGGATGGATGAGAAGATTTTGAGGGTCTTAGAAAAAGAGCCCAAAGACCTCTAATCTGTGAGATGACTGCTTCGGATGAGAGGAGACCTGCCCCTTTGATAGAAATTTTTAAAGAGAGTTTGTGTCTTGGAGATGGTGGAAAACCAGTAAGCAAAAGTGCTGAACTGAGAGTTGGGAAATCATGGTGGGTGCCTAAAAAGAGATCGGCGTGTAACCGGGCTCCCATTGTCTTAGAAGTGAAATGAAGTAAGTTAGACCAAAGGGAAGGAGTGTTTTGTTCTGAGAGAAGATTGCGGAGCAGCCTTGGGGTTTTGTTAAGACTGTGCTAGGTAGAGTCTGCTGAGGGGGTGGGAGAAACTGTGAGTTCTCTCTGTGTGTATCTTCTGGCTAGTTTCTACCTTGCAGGACATAGTTCACAAGGTTGGTAAGAGTAGAGGTGTGCCATCAAAAAAATTGAACATAAACATAGAGAGGGCTATTTTGGGCGAGTACTGAAGGTGAATGAATGAAATTACAGGTCAGTGGTGGAGAAAGAATTGGTGAAGACCACTGAGAAGGTTGTGGCTGTAGTTCTTTCTCTCTAATAAGAGGGCTTTCTTTGAACATAATTGTAGACTTCATATACAATCTCACGTGGGCTGTGGACCTAAGGCACCTGTAAGTTC